GTTGACCGACATGTACATTCGGCTGCGATTGTGTCCATTTAGCGCGTTGCTGAAGTGAATGCACGTAGTCCCGTTCCCACAAAGACCAGAACTGTTGCTTTAAATAAGCTACCTTCAGCCATCTATTCAAATAACTCATTTTCTTCTCGCTGTTGTCAGAGTTGCTGTACAGTGTTTCTTCTGGCGCTGGCGTCAGCGTTGAACCTATTAAGAAATGAGCTGGCGTTACAGCTTCAGCATCATTAGGGTCGTCTGTCATTGGTGCAATCGGTCGTGAATTGAGGATTGCTTCCACTTCGATGAAAACTGTTTGAAGCTCCTCAAACGTCAGATGTGCGTTCGCAATATTTTTGAGCACAATGGTTTTCGTGGATTTCACGGCAGCCTCCCAAAGGCCGCCAAAGTGTGGTGCCCTTGGGGGTATAAAACAAAATTCGAAGTTTTTATGAGCGCTAAATGATTTTAAATTGTTGATTGTGTTTTCGCTGAGTAGTTGACTTTTCAAATTGGCCAATTTTGAGGCCGCACCAACAAAGTTTGTGGCATTGTCGCAAAAAATTTTTTCAGGAACACCACGTCGAGAGAAAAATCTGCGCAGGCAGAGCTCAAACGCATTGGTGGACAATTCGCTCACCAACTCGATATGAATTGCCTTTGAGGCAAAGCACACAAAAATGGCCGCATAGGTTTTATACGGTGGTTTACCTCTAATACGGTATGACGTGAAAAAGGGGCCGCAAAAATCAACTCCAGTAATTTTGAATGGTCGCTCGCCGCGCAGGCGATCTGCCGGAAGGCTGCCCATTATTTGCTGTACTAGGCGTGGCTTGTAATGAAAGCAGTGGACACATTGACGGACGACTTTTCTAATTACCTCTCTTGCGTTAACAACCCACAATCGTAGACGCAAAATTGACAAGAGTACTTTCGGTCCAGCGTGTAAATTTGTTCGGTGCAGGTGCTCAATGTAAAGCCAAGTGAATCTATTGCCTTTAGGGACTAAAGCTGGAAATTTAGCATCGAATGGCAATTCTGAGTTAGCTAACCGACCACCTACTCTCATCACACATACTGTGGTATTGCGTAACTTCATTTCGTGCAAAAACGGAGCAAGGCGTTGCAAGCTGGATTGTAAAGATTTGTTTTCCTTCAATGCGCTCATTTCAATTGAGTATGAAGATCGCTCAATTTGCGCAATGATTTTCCAAAATGTGTCGTTTAACTCCGCTGCAGGTATATGCACGACGTCTGTCGCTAACAACGTGTTGTCTGGTCGAACACCATTGAAACACCGATATACATATGTCAATACGCGAAGTATTCGCATGTACGATGAACAGTCACTTAGAAGAGACTCTACGATTGATTTAGCGCTGTTTGTATTTCTGCTAATTAACACTGTCTTGGCTCGTACCTCAATTGGTGCTGGCAATGGCTCGTGAAGTTGTGGCCATTCATCGTCAGATTTTGCTAGGAAGTCTGGGCCCGTGAACCACATGTTAGTGACCAAGTCTGTTGATCGGCATCCACGTGAGATGATATCTGCCGGGTTCTTTGATGACGGAACGTGTCTCCAAGCAATATTAGCGCTGTGCTCTTGAAGTTCCGACACCCTATTCGCTACAAAGCAATGAAGTTTAGACGCGTGTATTTTCATCCACTGCAGCACAATTTTGGAGTCCGTCCAGAAATGTACAGTATTGATGTAAGAATCTAATTTATATGAGAATTTGCGCCAAGTTCGGCTTAATAGCACAGCAGCACAAAGTTCAAGTTTGGGCAATGAAAGTACGCGAGTTGGTGCTACCTTTGACTTCGCGACGAGTAAGCTGACCTTAACGCCAGTTGCTAATTTGGCGCGGACGTATAGGCAGCATCCATATGCTCTCTCAGAGGCGTCTGCGAAGCCATGTATGTCGCATATGTAATTTTTCGATGTGAAGACATAGCGTGGGACTTCGATCTTCGCTAAGGCTCGCAAGTCTTCCGTTAAAGCCTTCCATGTGGTGCTAGAGTGTTCATCAATCGGCGTGTCCCAATTGAGTCCTTTTAGAATCAGATCTTGCATAAAGATCTTACATCGAATTATAATAGGGCTGATTAAGCCTAGAATATCGAAAATTCGGGCAACAACAGAAAGTATTGAGCGTCTTGTACACGGTTCATTGATTTCAACGTGGTAGCTGAATACAAAATTATCACGATTCGGTTGCCATGCGATACCTAATGCCTTTGTAACCTCATGGTCACCCAATTCAATAAACACTTCGTTTTCGGATGCGGGAGTAATCTCTCTACAATTGCTGCTAAATTTGGTGAGCTGCAGTCCGGCCTTCCGCAGCAATTTAACTAGTTCATTCTTTTTGTATTGCAATTGTTCTATTTGTTCAGCTCCCGTCAAGAGATCATCCACATAGAGATCATTGCGTAGCGTGTTAGCTCCAATGGGAAATTCGTCTTGATGCAAATCAGCGATATGATGAAGTGCTCTAATTGCAAGGAAGGGTGCAGCCGACATTCCGTACGTCACAGTATTTAACGTGTATGTTTCAATTGGGCTGGTTGGCGCAGATCGCCACAATATTAATTGAAACAGTCTATCTTGCTCGCTGACGACGAATTGGCGATACATCTTGGCTATATCGCCCGTGAGAGCAAACCTATTCAAACGAAACGAAAGCAGCGTTATAATTAAGTCTTGTTGAATGGTTGGCCCCACCATAAGCAATTCGTTTAATGACTGTCCTGATGTTGTTTTCGCAGAGGCGTCAAAGACAACGCGAAGTTTTGTTGTTAAACTCTGCGGTCGCAAAATGCAATGATGAGGTATGTAAAAGTGAGGTTTCATTAAGTTGACATTTTGTGCGAGTGACATATGACCCAGTGAGATATACTCGTTCATGAACTCGGAGTATAGATTCTTGAGTTGTTCATCCCGGCCAAATCTTCTCTCGAGCATTTTGAAACGTTTGCTCGCGTTGTCAAATGAGTTGCCAAGAGCATTTGGCATTGTTTTAAAAGGAAGCCTTACTTGCAGACGGCCGTCCTTCTGCACTCTTACTGTGTTGACGAAATGTTCTTCGCACATTTGTTCTTCGTCAGTAAATTTTGCTGGTTTAGTGATACAGTCTTCAACTTCCCAAAATTTTTTAACAAGTTGTTCAAGACTGCTAGCTTCTTGAACTACATTACACTGCTGCGCCTAACTGATATCAACACTCCCAATACTTCCGCCAACAATCCACCCGTACGCAGAGTTAAGCAAGCAGGGCATATTTGGACCCAGGTTGTATTTACCTTCTCGCATTGCCTCAAAAAATCCCATAGTGTTGATCAAAATATCCACTTTGGTAGATAAATAAAATTGTGGATCAGCAAGAGTTATTCCAGGAGGTAAGCACCATTCTGAGGTGTCAATTGTTTCTTGAGGTTGGTTTGCGCAAATCTTTTTTATTACCGAAAATGTGGAAGACCACTCAAACTCTGAGCAGCGAGACCTTAACGTTGCAAATACGTTATGACTAATCTTTTGGCGTATACCTGCAATACCGCTCACTTCTTGTTGTACGCGACGCTTTTCAAGCTGCAACAGTTTTGCTGTTTCCTCTGTAATGAAACTAATTTCAGAACATGAATCTAATAATGCGCGAACTAAGTGTAGTTGACCAAATTTGTCTCTAATTGGGACTATTGCAGTTGGGATTATGCCCTTTTTAATAGTGCGTGACACCAACAAGGCGCTTGATTGGGGCATAGCATTATTCGAGTCTTGGACCTTTGATGGAGCGGTAGAAACGGGCATTCGTAAATTGGCACCTTGCGTAAAATTGTGTAGAAGTGTGTGATGAACTGATTGACAAATTTTGCATCTAGATTTTGATTGGCATTCTTTCATGCAGTGCGTCTTTCGTAGACAGTTGAAGCATATGCCAGCCTTGCGTACATAATCGATTCGTTGCTGCAAGGATAACTCCTTGAATTTATTGCAGCTGCTGATATAGTGCGATGGTGAGTTGCAATACACACAGTTCGCATTAGTGGGCACAAACGTCTTTGAAGTTGATGCCTGTTTAACCTTGGGCTTTGCACCACGCTGATCTGACTGATGATCGCCTTGGCTCTCAAGATATTGACATCGACGGTTTAGAGTGTTGCAACAATCCTCCCATGAGGACAGTTTATCGAAACCTTGCTGCTCGTTGTACTTCGCTTTGGTTTGGGCGTCGACCTTCGAAAGCAGTATGTGTATCATTATGTTGTTCATGATTTCTTCGGCCGACCCTATGGAAAGAAGAGATCCACGTATAGCGGATGCATTATCGACGAGTTTCTGTAGCGTCGTCGCCTCGGGTTGTGTCATCGTTGGTAACGCAAAAAGACTTGAAATGCAATCTAAAAAGATGAGTACGTCGTTGTCGTATCGAGCGTCCAATCGTTCCAACGCCTTGGAGTAGTTATCTTCAGTTATCTGAAAGGACTGCACAACTTCTAGTGCGGGTCCAGACAAACAGTTCAATAAATAATTGAATTTATCTATTGTCGCAATGTATGGGTCATTGTGTATTAAGTTTGCAAACGTGCTTTTGAACCTTTTGAAGGTTGCATACTTGCCGTCAAAGCTTGGCAGCTTCAACTTAGGCAAACGGTTATGGTGTGCAGCTCCAGCAGTCATAGTAGTATTTATAAAGGAGCTTTCTGCCATGGATGGTGCACTAGGACGACGCTTTGCTTGTAATAAAGCCATGATTTTCACCTTTGCGGCGATAAACAATTCTTCTTGTGATGCTCGTGCAGTGTCGGTGCTTTGCAAATTCTCAATCTGCGTTTGAATTTGGCATAATTGACGATAGTGCGAATCTAAAATTTGAAGTCTGCATTCGAGTACTCTTGCGTCCTCCTTGTCACCATCAGAATTTACCTTGTCGTGGAGATTAGTTATATGGCGCTCGAATACATTTCGTTGCGTTCTGAGTAGAACTAGTTTTGCTTCTACTTTTGAGTGATCGTTGCCTGCACTGGCATGCGTAACCTCATCTTCCTCGCCCATATTTAATAAATGTTCAACAAACGAAATTACTAACTCTGTTAATTCGGTCCAGTTAAGCGACAACGGTGCGTAACGCAAGGCAAGACAAGAGAAG